ATAACCACATAATACTAGGTATAGTGAAGTCACACATGCGGAGCATATGTTTTCACTAATCAATCCATCCAATTCCAATGTTTAGAGTACAAATCCACTGTCCGTGTCTGTGGTTGTGCCCGTTCCACAGCCTATACTTCTAGGTCTACCTATGCCACTACCACAACCTCCACTGCTACCACCACTGCCACCACCAAAAACGATTCCAAGGTCGGTGCCTTCAACCCCACTTCCAGCAGTTAGAGCCACCTGCTCAGCCAGCCGGTACATGTGGTGTAGCGGCTGAGTGACCCGAGTGTGCGATTGAGACACTGTCCAGGGTGAAGGGGGTGAGAGCCAGTCACGGTCCCTAAAGTCAGCAGTACCCTCGTCTGCTTCATCAGTTTCATCTTCACCTGAATCATAATCTTCCTCAGCCTTTTCCGCATCTCCCACATCGTCTTCGTCTTCATCCTCGCCTGTACCTTCATCATAGGTTTCATCCGGCGATGCCCGTGTTCTCCATATCCAGCCAGAGCGATTTTCACGATTACGAAGTGCTAAACACGCCGAGGAGCGTTTGCCGCGTTCCAGAAGATGAGCCAAATCACTTGAGGTTAAAGCGGATTCGGGTACCACTTTAGCACGATCTAAAGGATTATGATTTGACGAATTTGACGGGCGTTGATGATGCTGGTAGGAATGCTGTTCGGCTTCAGCATGTCTACAATGGTCCTTACCACAAACAGCCGAAAAGGGAAGAGTGCGAGTAATTACAGAACTTGGTGGCTTTTCGAGGTTATTCAAATAGAGAACGCCGCCGGGTAGTTCTAAACCCTTGGATGTAGAGACTGATACAGGCCAATCGCGACGAGTTGGTGCTAGGACCGTGGGCGGAAGAGTGTCATTTGTATGAGAGACTACGTTCAATGCGTATACTTTCGCTGGACGGGTGATTAGTGATTGCCTTAGCTCAGGTTTAGTGACGTCTGGCGTATAGTAGTAGTTGGGTAAGTCAAAGAGAAGGCCGGAAAGCCAATCTCCAAGTTGAGAGGACTCTGTGCAAGATCTGATTAAAGATGGTGGGAACGGACTGGAGCAAGAAGTAGGTGCGATTGAAGCCGCCGATGTCAATGATGAAAGTGGAGCTGGTAGACAGGATGGGATGGGACGCGGGAGAACTGAAGTAAGTCGGAGACGAATAGCCAAACTGGGAGTTAGGCGCTTTCGATCAATCAGTCGATTGGCAACGCCAGCTCTTTGGCCAACAGCCATTAAGTCGAAAAAGTAACGTGCATAAACAGCAGCAGGCACATTGATATTAAACTGGAGTAGACGGAGCGTATGCCTCTCAAGTAGATTGCTGTTAAGTAAAAAATATCGATGGATAAGCAACTAAACAATAGCGTGAATATTCTGAAACCTTATAGGAGCCTAGATGAGTTGGGCTATAAAAATAGTGTGTAATTTGTTTCCTGGGTGAATAGTTTCCTTCGAATAGATTGAGAGTGTAATATTGAATGTAGTTTTTGAGTAAAACGAATGAGGATAGGCAAAGGCTGAATTAGTGTTAACCTGATAAATAAAAGGATCATAATAAAAATGAAATATATATTAAGAAAGGGTGAAAAGGATACAATTATATTACCAAACAAACAATTTTAATGCCCAAAATTCAATGTGAAATGAAATAAGGTATAAAGGAAAATCAATTCAAGAATATATTAAATTTTCTCAAGAATATGTTTTCAGAGCACTAAGTCTAAAAATTTCTTTAAGTCGCTAAGCTAAAATAAAATAAAATAAAGCTTTAAGTTCAATGGGTCATGAAAATTCGCATTTTCGTAATAATTCGAGTTAAAAGAGCAGACAAAATATGATCCCATCGTGATGGATTTCCTCTAAGCTCTCGGAGTGAACATTTAAACAAAACCTTTTGAATAAATCTTTGGTGAACCTGAAACCATGTAACTTTAGAGGCTCTCTACAAGTTTCGAGCAACTTCGGTCAAGGCTTGTGGGAGATAAAAGTTATTGCGCAACTTTATGAAAGATAGACAAGGTGATTTCATCAATCTACCAATTGACAACCGCCAATACAACTGTCATCATCATCAGTTAACTCAGTAGTATTCTAACTATATAAGTTCCTAAGGAGATATATTAAATGTTAAGTCATAAATCACAGCGATATAAGAAATGTATAGCGCATAATTAAATTTAAAAGCAACGTAAGGCTGCTTCAGCTCACATTTAAGTTGAGTTATATGTTACCTATAAGAGATTGCATTCTCCACAAACAGCTTTTGTCAACAATTAAATCACTGATGAATATGCCATGCAAACCCAAGCCATTCGCGAAGATAAAGCAATCTTGACCCGACCGCGAATGCTACTTCATTTTGGCACAATATATCTGTACTAATTTTATTCTTAGGCCATCAGCTATTATTTTTGTCTTATTTTTAGTTACTATATAAATGGTAAATTAAGATAGTTAATGAGGGGCAAGGAAATGCAATAAGCGCCCTTGAGCTAAGATATTTTATTTTTGTTAACTTTGTGCCATTAAAGAATATGCTATGCTCGGAAGCTATACACACCCTTAAACTCTCCTGAAAATATGTCCGTAATACTACGGCCTCTAATATGTAATATATGATCTAAATAAATATGGGGCAATGAGTTCAATAATTTTAAATTCAAGATAATAAAATCTTAAGGTTTTATTCAGAGTTTGACTTAAAAATAAAATTTACATGACATCAAGCTTAGGCCTATGGCTTCAGAAAGTGCACTGTGACCTAGAAAAAACTATACTTTTGATTATATATGGTAGAGTGGAATTCTACTGCAAAGGAAAATGTGATCAATTCAATTTGGGCAGATCAACCATTTGCCCTAAAATGATGATAATTGGCTAATGGAGATTCCTCATCATAAAAGCTAAGTTTCTTGATATTTTCGGCATTTATAACATTTCATAATTAAGTAAATTTAAATTCATTAGATGATTTCGCCAAAAGTATAACAGGTAAAAGTCAATTAAGGTGATATGGAAAATTTGACTGACAGTAAATATACGCTCTAAATCTTTTTTGAAGGAATATGTGCAACTCACGACATAGGCTAGATAACTCCTGGTCAGAATATATTGAATCTTGTCGCCAAGCCCTAAATGGATAGAGATTTTAATATAAATTTCTTCAAAAATATAGCGCTGATTTTAGTAGTTAACTTTTATGAGTAAATGGCTAAGTTTGATATAAATAAATGATAAAATTACGATAATTAATAGACCAGTTACTCCTATCTACATGTGGTGTCTTAATCACAATGTCAGCATATCAGATAAAAAACATGAATTTAACGGACAAAGCAATTTATTAAATCAATAGAGGCAAGTAAATTAATTAGAAAATTGGAAGTAGGCGCAAGAGATTGGGAAATAACGAATATTTTGACCAGTCCAAAATTTAGTCTCCGTGAGTTTTAGTTTATATAAGTAGTAAATTCAGAGTAATGCCACGAAATACGACACAAGTATGCTATATCCAAGCAAAACTTCATAATCGATCCTGAATAGTGCAAATTTTCATCGTAATATAGACATGGTAAAGTTATAAAAATTGCACTGTGGAATGCCTTTCTTTACCACTAGCACGTCAGAGAACTTTACTTACAGATCCTCAACATCGATGTCAGTTAGAAACTGGCAGTAATCGACATTCCATACAGCCTGATCATCAAGCACTTTGCTGGCAATCAGCACACAGGATAGCAGCTGCCGGCGCCAGGACCATGCTAGGAGCATACACTGCTCCGGTTCACAGCAGACTAGACGCTCGAGAAAAATCTAAATCCAATAGTTGTTATAACAAAAAATAATTATAAATAATAGTTAATTGCTCTACTCGAATAAGTCCGAACAGAGTAAAATGTGAAGTAAACATTTTAAAATAAACTATTTTTTTAAATAACAAGGATTATTTTTAGCTGATATTAAAAATAAGGTATCTCTAGGCTGTATATTTCTAAAGAACGGCAGTACTCTCGAATTTAACAATATACAAATAAAATTAAGTCTTAAACACACGGGTCATGGGTAGAGTAAGAGATAAGGTATAAAATAGAAAGTGGTTAAACTATTTAATCTAAATATACCTAATGAAATACTGAACAAAAATACTATTAATAATAAGTACAAGCAAAAATATGTTTCTTTTACTGAAGCTCTGCAACGAAGAGATTTAATCTATATTAATAATTTTAAAATGCGCAATAATATCCGTCAAACAAACGGCCTAAATCTAATAAACATCAGGCGCTCGAATGACTAGCAGTTTCAGTATGACCTAAAGCATATATGGGAAAGATCGGGGCTAGAGAAACTGATACACCAACCTGTAGGCATGTAAACTGAGGAGAAATAAACTAAAAATTTGGACAAGCAAAGTCAGCATCAAAAGCTGGGCATCTAGTTAGACCATCTAAGCTTGATATTAGAGCCTTACTGAAAGTATAAGGCAAGAGGTGAAAATGAAAATTAGCAATTTAATGAATTAATAAGACACATAGAGAGCAGACGATAAATGAATTTAAGTCAACCTAAAAGAAAATATAGCACTCTTATGAGTCATT